AACGTGGAATAAACACGGTCGAAATTTACTAGTAGCTTTCTAGATTTTGTAAAGTGGATAAACATTAGTCGAAATTTATTATCTAGAGCTTTCTTTTTTGTAAAGTGGATAAACATTGTCGAAATTTATTATCAGAGCTTTTCAGTTTTTGTAAAGTGGATAAACACGGTCGAAATTTACTAGAGCTTTTTAGATTTTGGAAAGTGGATAAACATTGTTGAAGTTTGTTATCAGAGCTTTTCATGTTTTGTAAAATGTATAAACATTGTAGAAATTTACTATCAGAGCTTTTGATATTTTGGAACGTGGATAAACATGATCGAAATTTACTATCAGAACTTTTCAGATTTTGGAAAGTGGATAAACATGGATACAAATGGCAGTTTATTTTGGTGTATTCAGATCCTCAGTTGGAAGGTTATTAACATGTTAACCAACAATTGTATTTCACACTAGACATCCTAGGCATTGTCGTGAAAGTCGACTACGTCACGAATTATCGCTTTATGCACAACATGACCATTAAAAATCACCAAAGGATGACATGATGTGGGTGGTCAGAGAACCATGTAATTAACTTACATGCGGCTTTGTCAGTTGGCATAGATCTATTAAAATGAATGTACAACATTTTTATGAATGTAATTATCGTATATGATGCAGTAAGGTGACTTTGACACAAGGCAAATTGTATTCCATCTTAAAAATACAGTGGTATCAAATATCCAATATGTCCTCGGTCCATTTCGACAGCAGAGTCCGAACGGTGAAGGAATTACTAACAGCACGAATTACATCTACAGCGATGGGCGTCAAGTAATGTTGAATAGGATTTTTAACCTCAAATATTAAGATTGTGTAGTTGTAACTAATTGTCCCGCGTGAGTCAGCAGTAAATTTATGGATGCTAAAATTCGAGGCTCGATTCCCCGCAGTGGACAGAATGCAGATAGCCCATTGTGTAGCTTTGCACTCATAAGAAGAAGAGCAGTTTTTTAAAAGTCCTACTAAAACTAACACTTTCATTTAGAATTTGTAATGATTACACAAGATGAACAAGTTTTTAAGGTCATCTTGCAAGCCGGGTTTCGATACCCTTGATGGGCAAAACACAGATAGCCCATTGTGTAATTTTGTGCTTAACATCAAACAAACCGGTCATCTTGCAACGCCACCTATGGTAGTTTTCCTCATAAATAACACCTTCTAGCTTATAGAATTCATCACACTTTAATTTTTTTTACCTCAAGTTTGCCTTTGTTCAGTCTATGAATTCTGAATGCAAGCACAAAAATAAGTTTAGCCCTTTACTGAGTATTCAACTGGAATTGTGACTTCTTTGATATTTAACTCAGCGGTTGAATACAAAGATAAGTTCACATGACCGAAGATGGCCATCTGACTTAGTAATGACGAAAATACTTGATATATGATTAATTATACAGTAATAAGCCCAACAATCTTTTGATCAAACCTCAAAATTCTTGATTGCAGGTTTATGTGAAAAATATGATTTGCTGACTTGAAGCTTTAATTACTATTATCGTTGTGTCCATCAATTTTTCACTTGGTTCCACAAAGTTTGAGTAGTTGTAATAATCCTATTGGTTGCTGAGTGAACCAATAAGCTCTTGCAACAAACTCATAATATTAACTACAATTCATAATAATGTCACTTGGTAAGCAAGTAAAGCTTACTCAAAGTCACCTTGCAACGCCGCCTATGGTTACTTTTTATTACAATTCATAATGATGTCACTTGATAAGCACACGAGGCTTCAAATTCATCTTGCAGCGTAAAGTATGGTTGTTTTCCAAAAAAATGTGTTCCACATATGTTTTATACACCAATATCAACTAATAAAACTGTTTGGTATTCTTAGAGTTAGGGCGGATATGTCACAACCGTAATAAAAAGAACGCTAACAGTTGAGTCATTAAAGTCTGGAGAACGAAAACCGAATCGTATCACTGCAGGATTTGACGCGTGTCGAAGATAAAGTTTGAGATGTATAAAAAGTAACAGGTTAAGTGATGCACTTCAAGGAAACAAACAAACAAAAAAATACTGCGCACGCCAACAGAGTTGCACATGAAATAATAATACTGTTTATTTAACTGTTTGTTTTTTCATCAATCAATTCACCTGTAGAGGAAATAGGCTTTACAGCACAAAAGCAAATTGTGTGACGACCAGTACAAATTACAACGATTCATAAGCACAATTTTCGGTAAGAAAACAAAGAAATAACGCTTCTCTGACTTTAACCAAACATATACGAAATTGCAAATTCTGTTTTATCATGGGAAAGTTGGGCTAAAGATGTTTAAAGGTAATCTAAACAATACCATAAGAACACAGAGCTTATCCAATGTCAATGTCCTCTGGAGAAAAGCATAATATCAAGGTTCAGGTTTACAGTGTTTTAGGGTAAAGAAGCCTAGAAGTGTTACACAATGTGTAAAGGTAATCTAAACAATACCATAAGAACACAGAGCTTATCCAATGTCAATGTCCTCTGGAGAAAAGCATAATATCAAGGTTCAGGTTTACAGTGTTTTAGGGTAAAGAAGCCTAGAAGTGTTACACAATGTGTAAAGGTAATCTAAACAATACCATAAGAACACAGAGCTAATCCAATGTCAATGCCCTCTGGAGAAAAGTGTAATATCAAGGTTCAGGTTTACAGTGTTCTAGGATAAAGAAGCGTGGAAGTGTTACACAATGTGTAAAGGTAATCTAAACAATACCATAAGAACACAGAGCTAATCCAAAGTCAATGCTCTCTGGAGAAAAGTGTAATATCAAAGTTCAGGTTTATAGTGTTCTAGGATAAAGAAGCGTAGAAGTGTTACGCAATGCGTAAAGGTAATCTAAACAATATCATAAGAACACAGAGCTAATCCAATGTCAATGCCCTCTGGAGAAAAGTGTAATATCAAGATTCAGGTTTATACTATTTTAGGGAAAACTGTTGGAGACAACTGAAGTCTAGAACTGTTGCACAAACTTGAAATATTGTAAAAATAAAGTTAAAAGGGGCTAGAAGTTAAGATAACTATAGGCATGGCAACCACAATTGTAATTTTGTGGTACTCCTTCATACGAGCAGAGTCGCGGGTTCGAATCCCCGTCACACCGAACATGCTCGCCCTTTCAGCCGTGGGGACGTTATAATGTGACGGTCAATCCCATTATTCGTTGGTAAAAGAGTAGCCCAAGAGTTGGCAGTGGGTGGTTATGACTAGCTGCCTTCCCTCTAGTCTTACACTGCTAAATTAGGGACGTTTAGCGCAGATAGCCCTCGAGTAGCTTTGCGCGAAATTCAAAACAAACGAAAAGACACGTTTCATCCTCCATTGAATGCACAGTTTTTGGAATATTGTTGAGAACTGGAACCAACGTCTTTGATCGCATGTACTTTCACAATTGAGTCAATGACCTCAATGGATGACAGGCTCGAATATAAAGAACTAAAGGTACATTTCGTGCTCAGTGCAACATTTTATAAAACCGTTTCAGTGACGGTCCAGTTAGGGTGTGAAAAGACATCAGTATGAATGAACGTGGACATTTTAATATATTGAAATGGTATTGGACCCAGGATTCCCCAGCTGCAAAGCATTTCATGGTTTCCTTATGAAAATAAAGATAATTAACTTGTAGATTAAGTAGAACTGTTTTTGTTTTCTACTTAGATTGTAATTACTATTAATATGAACAGAGATTATATAAGTAAAATTTTTAGTCTCTTTTAATTGAGTTATAAATGATTTATAATTCTGTTTTTCAGATGCACCACCAATATGATCTGGTGAATTAATGAACAATGTTCACAATCAACATTGTTTATTAATCCATCACCTAAAACACAGAACAAGTATCATGCCTTCAGTATCTTTTTATCATCTCTGAACACACACTTCTGTCTTCCTCTAGGTTTTTTGGAGACGAACCTCCACTGGTCCGACAATTTCTCAAGAAACTTGGTTATGAGGTATGACTGAATTATAGTTTCTTATTAAGCACAAAGCTACGCAATGGGCTATTTGTGCTGTGCTGTGCTATGTGAGGGAGGGGGATGAATTATAGAAGTAAGATGCATTATTTAACAAAGCATAGTTTAAGAATAGACAAAATAGCTTGTGGAAAATTAATTTCTTGCTTTCCTAGAACAGTAATTTCTTTTATTTGTGTTTTATACCAAATTAATAAAAATGTGTAACTTGGTAAAATTGTGCATAATATTTCATTTGTCTATATTTTCAATAAAATTATTGCTTTATCAAATTCGAAAAGCTAGGTAAAAAAGGGAGTGATATTTGGCTGACTAGAAAATGGCCAGGTGGTTAGGGCGTTCGACTCGCAAGTTGAGGGTCGCGGGTTCGAATCCCCGTCCCACCAAACATACTCGCCCTTTCAACCGTGGGGGCGTTATAATGTGACGGTCAATCCCATTATTCGTTAGTAAAAGAGTAGATTGCGAGTCGACAAAAACAAACCCGCTAATAAGAGATATTTTAATACAATTCCGAAAATGTAGGAATAAGTACGATATTTGAAACGATGTGGCAATAGCATTTATAGAGGTAGCCTTGAAAATAGCTTTTTTCAATATTATGTTTAAAACTGTCAGGACATCGTTTTTAAGTAAACATGAGGAAACTGCTCTATAGTAGGAAAAAGTGAGGTAAAACGGTCCCCTTCGATGAAACAGCGATCCCTGTATATCAGCAATCATAACGTGCAGCCATCAGAGTGAAGTATATGTAACTATTGTTCACGAGAACCTCTGCACAAACACACTGGCTGATGGGCGCGATTTTAACTTTTTGACATTGAACAACTTTGGTCTAGGATAAGAACTTTGAATCTTTTATGGGTACAGTGAATCTCACTTTGTTGATTTCAAACATTGAGAAATTATAGATGGCTGAATATGTTGTAAAAGAACCACTGTGAACTTCGTTGATTTTTATAAAGTGAAATTGCTTTAGGATATATATAGCATAGAGCAAAACGCCTCTTCGGAGGGCCGTCGTACCCCACATTAGTGACGTATATTTCCGCCATAGGCTTCGGCAGCAATATACATCATTGCCCCACAGCAGTACCAACGTTCTTTTGCGCCATTGTCCTGGATAATGCGCAAGTTGTGCATGGCGCACGGCCTTCCTGATCCCTGCCCAGATAATTGAAATAGTGATCTAAATGCAGTTGCTAAGTGCAACATATATTTTGAATATCAGTTGTTATTAGTTGTATAGAGGCCATTAACCCGATTTTAGGGTATCCGTTTCATCTAAACTTATAGATCAAATTGTCCCCAACCTCAATAAATGCATTTTCCAATATCTAAAAAAGGGTCTATGCTCAATCTTAGTTTAATTAGAAATAACATTTTTAAGAAAATAGGGTTTATTTTAAAATATTTTGCTTTTTCATGACATTCATCTTAATTCATGAAAACCGCATTCATAGTTAAGGTGACCGTCTTATACCCACCTTCTTCTAATAGGAATGTTTCAGTTCTGAAAATAATACTAATTTCCTACAACACATAGACTAATGTTTTCTTTCACATAATTTTATTTTTATTTTGTTTTAGGAAATATGCTTCCAATTTTGATGTTTTTTCACGGGATTTAATTTTTTATTTTGTTTTAGAAATATGCTTCCAATTTTGAAACAGAAAAGATCGGCATAGTGGAACTCCCTTATCTCACAGAAGAACGTCTGCAGAAAATCGGTATACCAATGGGGCCAAGATTGCGTATTCTACAAGAAGCCAAGATGGCTTTCCAACAGGATCCACTCAATAGTTGCTTAGTATGAAATATTTAAAATACAAGAATTATTGCAAGTAAACACATCTTTATTACTTAAATAGACGCTTCGATTATCACTTCATTCGTACTTGTTAAATCTCAAAATTTAAATTGATGGAGCATGCGTGGAATTTGAGTATTTATGCTGCAAGAATTAGAAGGGGAACTTGTCTTAGGTACTAAATCTACCAAATGATAACTTACACCAATTTTATAGATTTACACCTCTTAATGCACACGTTTTTTTTTTTAATTCTCATTCACGTGGTCTTGGCCAAGCTGTAAAGAACATTACTGAAAATTATTTGTCCAAATTGCTTTGAATTAAAGTGTAATACAAATAATCCTTATTTGAATAGTTTTAGTTTTGGTATGTTGCAAATAAATTAATAATTAAACACTCGTTGTAGACTTTGCTTTACTTTTGTTGATAATAAAGTTATCTTATTTCAGAGAACTATATTTTAATTAGTTTAGATTTTGTATAAAATATACGGGATTTCCTTTAATGTTGTTTTTACTTCGACACTGCATTAAACTATACTTTGAACAATTGATTTTAACTCTATCAATTTTTAACCAAAACCAATTAAATTTGAATTACATATTTATTAATGAGTAAAATATGTATCTCAAGTATTTGTGTAAACTGCAAGTCACCACTTGAAAATCATCGGTTTTATTTTATTGCCATTTATCTAATAAAATAATTTGGGAATAGTCCCCAGATGTTTTGAAAGAACTATTAGACTTCCTACTTGGACTTCCTACTTCCAAGACACACCTGTGTTTGACCATCACTAATTTCTCCGCTTTAATTTGTCGGCTCAAGCATTCAATGAAAAGAAAAAACACGTGAAATACACCCTAAAGTATTCATATTCAATTGATAATTAGTGTATCTGTGGGAAAAAAAACGCATACAAAAACAATATTTTTTCAGACAGCTGACCAATAAGTCATCTCAAAATCAAAACACTGACCGTCATCTTTTAACAGTGTTGCAACCATAATGGCTTATTTATGGATCCTTACTGATAAGTTCTCGACGTTGTTGTACGGACCTATTATTTCATTGTAGACTGTGTTTAGTTTTTAAACTGGTTGCTTTCGGCAAACACTTCAATTAATTTACAATATTCTTTAAAAGTTAAAGTTTAACATTCAGATATAGAACTCAATAAGACACGTATTTGTTTGTAATTAAGCACAAAGCTACACAATGGGATAATTGGGATCTGCCCACCACGAGTATCGAAACCCGGTTTCTAGCGTTCTAAGTCAGCAGACATACCACGGTGCCACTGGGGGATAACTCGGAAAGAAGTGCAACATACAAAGAAGAAAAAGGATCTGTCGAAAACTTCGTATTATCACAAGACCTGTCATATTCTTATGTCTACCTATGTGGATGTAAGCTCATATTGAAAGAGAATAGTAATATCATTCTATAATAATTTCACTATAGAAAAAACGTGCACAACCAAGACTATATAATATATATATATATATATATATTAA